TTTTGGGGTCCGTTTTAAAGGGTGTTTCTCCCCGTTTGACTTGCTCTTTTTCGTTCTGGCTGCTCAATTTGTTGTAATACAATATTTTGGCCATTAGGAGCCAGAAGTTGGAAACAGGCAAATGGCCACTGACTTTGTTTGCTGCTCCATGTTTGCGCTTCTCTGTTCCTGTCTGCTCTTTTTCTGGGGCTCTGTACACTTGCTCACACTTTGAACCTTCGCACATGCCGCAAGTGGTGGGTATAAAACTAAGAGAGCTGGGGACCAAGATATCGGGTTCAAAAAATAAAGGGGAAAAGCATTTCGATTGACTTGGGATTTTCGATATTTTAAAGGAAATCAATATGGAAGTACTTACTATTACTATTAAACCTTCTTTTGGTTCAAAAATTCAACAGTGCCAACAAATATTATATGTGAATGAGTCTAAAGTCTTACTTTATTTTTATTGAAATATTTTATTTAATAATATTAATGATTATTTAGTGTCAAAACTTTTCAGCTTCTGAAATTTCTTCCTTTAACCCTTTGGATAAGTATAACTGGTAGCTTTTTTCTTTATTTGCTTATTGATTTTTATTAATTAAAATATATTTTATAAAGCTAAACAGTTCTGTTTAAATGAACAGTTTTTATTTTATGTATTTTGTTTAGTGTGCAAGACATGAATTTTGGAATATTTAGAGTATCCAATGGCTGACCCTTAACCTTGGTGATTCATCCAGTTTATTTAGGCATAGTCCTGGTTTGACCCAACCGTAATCCGACCATGTTGAGGAATTATGCCTCGAACATTTTCGGGCCTGGCCTCACACGTCTCCATCTTCGGATTTCTTTCCTTTTTTTGACCCTCTAACTCCCACTCGTTGACTGCTTAATGGAACGTGAAGTCTGCATGATTAATAGGCGTCAGTCGGTCGTTCGTCTGAGCCTCCTTAGACATCAATGCTAAGTCCTACCGAGGCCCGAATATACACTTTTTTGTGCTTTCTCTTCGCTCTAATGATTTCAATAAAGCTACAAAAAAGCCCAAGTCAACTCACGGACTTTTATATTGTTTCAATTTGCTTAGGGGCGTTTTCTGACCGGATCGGACCAAATTGAACCGAACTGAACCGAAAAACTGGGTCCCAAACTGTTTGTCTTGTCCTATGACATTGTCTGCTTCTTGGCCCTCTTTTGTTGGCCTTTAGAAATTTCTTTTAATTGAAATGTGAAAATTTCCCTAAAACCTATCAAGTTTCAAATAAAAATCCATATTACCAAATAAAATAGAACAAAGAAATTCATTTTTAAGAATTTGTGGACTTTGTCAATGTAGAAAGAAATTTTATCACATTCAATTGAATTTTTAAATATATTGATAATCAGCAACCCAATTCATAATAATAATTTTGTAAAAGTTGCTATAGTATTTCAGTTTAATTTTACAAAAACTCAATTAATTTACGGAATTTATCAAATAAGAATAAACCGTCATACACATCCAAATAAATGCCATTACTAAACTATTCAACCAATTTTATATACATAAATAATGCTTATGTAATTTGTACACCAAACTCATTTTATGAAATTTGTTCCATCAAATTGCTGTCACCAAAAGTGCCATGATATATGTACGAATGTTTTGGATTACAGTTGATGAACATTTGCGCTATCCTTATGATTTATTTGTGTTTGAGGCACCTTTGCAACCTGCTGCTTATGTCAACGACAATAAATAAAAGTAGAAAAAAAACAACAAAAGCAAAGAAAGAAAATAGAAACAATTGAGGAGCTTCCATCAATTGGGCAAATGCAGAGATAAACTTCAACAAAAGCTTAGTGGCTCAAAATGTTTTTGTCTGGCAAACACAGGACATTGATACGGATGTGTGTGTGTTTTCTATCTATTGCAACCATCTGTGTGTGCGTGTGTGAATAATCAAAACAAATACAAAGCAGGGAAAAAAACACTCACCCACACACAGATTCAGTTGCTTTGGCCATTGTGGCGACACAGTTTTATTTAAACAAAAGCCTACTTGAGCTTATGCTCAGTTTGCCAGCAACAATTTAATGGCAATGTATGGATGAGGGGATGTGGGAAAATAAGTACACAGTCGGGATGTTGGTGTGTACACATGTAGCCCGTAATGGCCACATATGCATCATCTGCTGGGTAGTTTTTGGCTGGAGAAGTATTCTGTGAAAATGAGCAAGGAAAATATATTTCATCTAATATATAAATCTTTTTGAATCCTGGATTTGATCTCAAATGATCCCTACAAAAATAGATTGTCGCAAATAAAACGAATTTTTAGTAAGAATTACAAATTCAAAAAATATAGCATACTTATATGGGTAATTTTCTAACATCGCGATGCATCGTTAATACTGCCCTCAATATAAAATATTACAAATTTGTAAATAAAAATTGTTAGAAAAATAAATATTTAATAATAACAACAATATTCTAGCTCAGCAAACCTGTTTATTTTGATATTTTTTTTAAAATAATTAATATTGTTTGCAGCCCATCATACATGACATACTTTGAACCTCAAATCAAAATAAAATTCACATCGATTACTATGAAATATATAAAATAGAGAATGGGAGCGGTTGTACAATTAAGTGAAAGCGAAAGAGGGTGATACCCACAGCATTTTATTTGATTATTTTGACCCCTGTCGATTTTTTCTCTCTTCTTTGTGAAGTAAGTCAAGGGAAATTTGCACTGTGGGCCGGATTTGATTAATGGGAAATTGTGTTGTCGGCTAATGAGAGGGGAAGGCGATATAGATATACGTACGTGTATATTTCCACATTTAAATGTAAGTAGAGAAGAAAAGCAAAGGCAGGTGAAGCCGTTTTATTTGTGCTTAGGCATTATTTTTGCCGAAATTCAATGAGAACGAGCTGAATTTCCAATGAAATTTTAACGAATTTCATATTTACAGTTAGCCCGGGGTGGGCGGGCATTTTGGGGGACGCTGTCAGAAGCAATCAGGCTGCAGGCGCTGCTCGGCAATATCAAAGAGCGTATTAACATGCAAAGCAGGGCCCACAACCAGAGTCAAAGTCAGAGCGCAAAAAATGAAAACTGTGGGTGTGGGTTGCGAAAAAAAAAAAAAAAAACAGACTGGAAAATAAAGAGACGCGAACTTGACTTGCCACAGAAGGCGCAACAAAATTGAAAACCATTAGGATTAATGTTTAGTTGAAAGATTTGCGCGTTAAGCCATTTTTACATGGCTGCCTTCGGCTGCCTCCAATTGCTAATGTAGTTTATGTGTAGGACTGGGTGCTCGTGGGGCCTTTGGACTGGAGGCCTGGATATCGGCATGGCTCTTCGGTTCCTTCGGCTTTGAGGGAGTCGGAGTAGGAGTATCCCTAACGCTAACTGACGTTGGCTTCTGCTGCGGATGCTGTTACTGCTGTTAGGCTTAAGGCGAGACGCACAAACGACATGTAAAATGTGACATTTTAATGTATGCAAATGAGACGTTGAATTAAGCCAACGCACCCACACAGGCGAGGCGAGGAGACAGGATAACAGTGGGCTATAGGGAGGGCCAAAGGACCTGCAGATCCCCGCTGGTGTGCAAACATTGGCTCCATATCCGTTTCCGCTGCTCAGCATTCCCCATCTCCTCCGCTCGAGCTCTGCCTTTTGTGATATGATTTGAAAATAATGAAAAGACAGTTACAGTCTTCAAGCACAGTTTTGGCCACCCTGCTTTTTGTCGCCACCCATATTAGTAACCCCCTCACGTTCCAGCCCTAGCGGAAATGTCAACTTAACTGGCTCGAACCCCAAAAAAACGACACAAAAGCCAACACCAACAATGATTGCAAATATTTTAGATTAACAAAATGTGAAACAAAAAATACCCTGTGAATGCAGTGTACCATAAAAAGCATATATTAATAAATACAAAAATAATAGATTTTAAGAAAACAAATAACAGTTTATATGAATGTATGTAAGCCAAATGCAATTTCCTATTAAATTAAACAAAATCATTTATTAAAAGCTTCTTCTTAACACAACAATATAGGTCAAACTATCTAGAAAACACAATACAAAATAATATTAAAATATAAGCTACCAAACTTAGCTTCTATAAACATTTTCGTTACCAAAACAAACAAAAATACCAACGTAGCCACTAATAGCAGGCCAAAAGTGGGCTTCTTGCCCAATTTATTAATTTCTATTCCGTCTGCGTCCCCCAATTTGTCCATCGGTCCTTTGGTTTTTGGCCATTAGAACTGTTCGATTGTTTTGCTCTTTAGCCTTCAATTTGTTGATTGTTTTTCTTGGGATTTTCCCAGGAACTCGTTTTGAGGGGGCTGGATTTTAGTCCACAGAAACCATGCTCTAAAATGTTTGATAATAAAATGCGTAAACTTTTTGTTTGGCTACAGATTTTCAGAGAAATTGTTAGAAAACATTTAAAATATTTGTTACTTCACTTGAAAGTACTTTGAAAATGCGTGGAATTATTTGTTGGCAAGAAAAAAGTTGTTGTTTTTAGAACTTTGGTTTTTCAAAGGATCCGTTAAAGAGGTGTCTAAATGCATGTTACTCTTGAAAATAATAAATTTAGGTACACCAACATTTTTTATAGAGCTAATTTAGTGTGTTTTTATATTATCTGCTGAAAGGATTTTGGTATTGCTTTAGCTTATTAAAAACTAACAAACTTTTAATTATTTATACTCGTTTCTCATCTACCACAGACTATCATTACAAGCCGAAATATTTCTTTTAGTTAACCACAAGGGTAAACTTGTATAATTAGATCCCCAATTTAAATTAATGCTTGACTATGCCGAACTAAGGCACACATTTCCCATTAATGTTTGAACATACCCCTGATGCAAATATTTGTAAATAAATAAAACTGAAAAAAGAGTCCCGCAACCCTTGCATTAATTATGAGCCATTTAAAATGTGCCCAAAAGAGCCTTTTATATATGTTATTATGGGAGAGAGATTTATAACTCACCGATTAGGACTAGTATCACATGTAGGATATACCAGATCTGCAAACTCGTGGCCGCCGTCCTTCCTGTGGCCGATTTCCTCGCACCCGGAGCCTGTTGCTCCACCCTCAGCTGTTGGTGGCATTGGTGGTGCTCGGTTTTATGGTGGTGCGGCAGCTGGTGCTGGGTAAAGGGATCCCGGGCACACATCTTTGCCTCCGTTAAATGCCCCAAATGTGCCACGCCCACACGCACTAATGTCTTTATTAATTTCGGTGTGAAAATTTCACTTATTTCATTTGGACATTAAGTTGTTGTTCTGGGGGTTCCCCGTTTTAGTGCTGCCTCTGCTCTGTGCGGTAATAAAATCTTGGCTATTAATCACTTTTAATCGCGACGCGAACGAAAACAACGGAAAAGTTAAAGGCAAAAACTATTAAAGGACCTGCTGCCCCCCATTTGCTTTTTCCATCACATGGAGCGGCATTGCAGTCAAGTTAAAGACATAAATTTTCAAGCATTTTGGGCAAAGATTAATTACACAGCAGCCTTTTCTCGGTTCCGATGCGGGAAAAGCGTGGAAAAGCAGAAAAGCGAAGGAAAGTCCTTGCCACATAAATTCCAAATCTAGTACCCGCTCGCTCTTTAACCCTTTGCTTGATTTAGAGCGTCAGGAAAACGCTTGCCAGGCAATTGAGTTGGTGAATTAAACTCCAAGTGGCAGAATAAGTTAAATGTTAAAGGTCCAATATTCTTTTTAAATTTGTTTTTTTTGTACCCTTGCCGAAAAACTGATATGATTTAAAGAATTAATCAGGATTTTCTGTCAACCACACGCCTTCATCTTCCAATTCTACTATAAAAAGTCACTAAAAAATTGATAAATTTAAAAATGTGTATCGCACAAATAATGTCCATATTCATATATTGGTTTATTGCTGTTTATCCCATTTCCTATAGAAGTTTAGAATTGAGGCCGAAGCATAGAGAAGTACTCATATATCGAGATGGCAAAGTTATGGCCTCTGATGAGTGCATTATTTCAAAATTTATTGCCAATTTGGTTATTTATTTCAAAGTTATTATTATTATTAATGAAAGCAATTAAGGTGAGGGAAAATTGGACTGATAATACATGGATAAGGTAACGTACCAGAGCAATGCATAAAACGTATGTATAATAATGTATCACACTATATAAACTATATATTTTAAAATAATATTCAAAGATCGAACAAGTAAGAAACTTATTTATTAGATACAAAAGCGCAAATCATTTGTTTTTATACAAAGGACTCTCGGAAACTCCACTCACATAATATCTAAGTATTAACAAAAGTGAAGCGTTTATTTTTAAAGCTTATTTTGTTACATCCTTTAATTTGTCGTAAAAAATCGACCGTGCACGTGTCTTTTACATTTCGCTATTGTTGGACATTATTTATGGGCATTCGTAAATCTAGTGACAACACCGCCAATTAACAAATATTTATAAATATTTAAAAATATAAATAAACTGTCATAACCTGACAGCTAACAATAATATTCCATTTTTCCGCTCTTGTGCCATTTTTTTTTATTTAAAACCAACAATGGCTGGATAAACACAAATAAATAGCTAACAAGTCAGGTGCAGATGTGGAATCAAGCAACAACACCAGAAGCTGTTATTATAATTACAGCAACAATAAAATCGCGTACACCCGCAAAACCTACAACAATGGCAAATGGAGCGCCTAAAAATATGCAGCACGAAATAAATGGCCAAGACCAAGCCTTATATACAGGACACTATATCTACTCCAACCCGCCCAAGCAACATAATTAGCCTAAATTGAAGCAGGAGCCAGAAAGGGAGACGGTGGAAGCGGCGAGACAAGAAAAAATGACAAAATATAATTAAAGATTAAAATGTTCTCTTGCTAAAAGTGGAATTTATGATGGCAAATTTTCAAGTTGGAATTTTCAAGCGGAGCTCGGAAAAGTCAAGCTGTGTTCCGAATCTAATAATCTCTAGATAAATATGTTACTTTATTAACTATTAAGCTAAAGTATTTCAATGAAATTTCTTACGACTTATTTTAAGATGAAACTGAATTTAAGATTATGCACCGCCATAAACTCAGGAAAGGAAAATATTTTATGTTATATTTATACATAAAACTGTAATATTTATAATATATTATTATTATAAAGCAGCTGGATATCAAATTTTAGTATAACTTTGAAGTATTTTTATTTAATATACCAAACATTCTTTAAGTAAAGTATACATTTTCAGAAATATATATTCCCAAAAGTTTTCAATTAGTGATGATAACCCGAATTTAATTTTTTATTTTTAGGGTCCTTTTTGGAGAACTATAAAAACTAACTATAAAAAACTGATGATGTAAAAGTTTAGCCCTTGCTTTTACTAGGATTTACTTTTCGTTTACCCCCTTTTCCTGTTGTTTCGACTATTTTTAATTTTGGTTGGTTTTGGGGTTGTCGGATGATTACATCTTGTGTTCCACTTTTCGCGCTTTAATTAACCGCAACCGCAACAGTTTTCTCAGTTTTCCCCAGCAACAACAACAAATGCTTGACAAATGTTTTCGGCACGCAACAAATGCGGCATTTCAAGCGTAAGGCTCAAAGATTTTCCATTTTCACTGCATGCACTGCCACGGATTTGCCTTGAATACGTTTCTGTTATTATTGCTGCCACACTTGCACTTTTTCGTTTTTTATTTTTGTAGTATTACGGGTATTTTCCTCCTTATTTTTTTTGTAAACACGATATTACTTTTAGTGGCCACTCGCACACACTCAAACACAAACACACAGTGATGGGCGAGTGTGCGTGTTGTTCGTTTGACTCAGTTTTCAGTTTCGGTTTTCGTGGGGCTCTTTCAAAAAAGAGGGGTTTGAACTAACGCGCGCGACAAAAACGACGTGCGTTCGCCTCAAAGTTGAAATTGTGACTAAAAAAAACTCGAGTTCGCAGTGCCTAGTAGAGAAGTGGCGCCATCACACGGCCAACGCGCGAAGCTTCCATAGTGGAACGTCCATGGCTGAGAGAAAGGGAAAGAGTGAAAGCTCGGAGTGCAAGGCTTTGCTCTCTCGCTTTCTCCCTCCCCCTTGTTTGTTTCATTGCCAAACGTTCCTGACCAACAGCAGAACTTTCCTATAAATATGCAGAATGTAGGCGGGCTAAAACTAGGGACATCTGTTAGAAGTACATGATATAACAGAACATTTTTATTCCAAAACAAACAACTAAAATATGAAAGGGACTTAAAAAATGTAAATTTTATTTAAAACTAATTCTTAACTTTCATCTTACTGTTTGAGCAATCAGCATCAAGAGAGAGAAGGCTAGTTAACTTCAGAGGAAATTTTACTTGCCAGCTCTCTGTTATCTTATAACATTTATAACTTGACAAGCAATATTTAAAATACTGGGATTTTTTATTAACATCTGTTAAAGTTCTGTAAACCAACAACATGTAAGGAATGTACATAAGTGATTACAAGCAACAGAAAAATGGCACCGCCGGGATAGGTAGGCCTGGGAGTGTTTCCTGCGCTTTTCTTAGGGGGTCCCAGGGTCGTGGCGGGTGTGGGGGAGCGGGGCGCAACTTTTGGGGGGTCTCATGTTGGGGGCCGAGTTCGGAAAACTGAGAAATTGGGGAAAAACCGGTAAAGTTCAGTTTGACGGTCTGGCAGCACTGTATTTTGCACATGGGTAACACACGCGACGGGAAAACTGGTGTATTCGATCACTTTCCACGAAAAACTGATCGCGGCGACCTGCCCCCACCCCCGGCTCCAATCGACGTCACTTTTTTCTCGCGGAAAATGCGGCGGAACGGAGAATTTCGCGACACACAGATTTCAGGTCCAGGCAGTATGACCACCTTTGGGTTTAACGCAAATATAGGCACGTTCTGCCGTTTCGCAAGGCGTTACGGGACTTTCTGCGTTTTCTCTAAGGTGGTCATACAGTTTTGGCGCCGTTGTTCCAACTTTTTAAGTGACAATACTTGCGTTTTTTATATAATGGACCTTTTCAGGCTTAAATTCTTTGCCATGCCGCACCTGCGGAGGTGGAAAAGCACCTCCCACAGGTGGATGATCCGCTCCGGCCAAGCGGGATCTCTAAAAACTTGGACGGCGTAAATCGTTTAAAGGATCACGGCAGTAATATTTTGTGCTCACTAAAATATCTTAAGCAATCAAAACAAAATAAAAATTAAAATTAATAAAACAAAATGAAATTAAATACCTTGAATCGATCAGCTGCAGTAAGCGCCACATTTAATAATTTTTATGAGCATTGAACAAATATTGTTTCATTAAATTATTAAAAGTTAATATAAAAAAAGGAAAACTTTAATATCAGGCGAAAAATTGTGAATTACTAATATTCAGCTCAACTTCTTTACCTATTGTCATTACTCACAAAAAGTTTTGACCAACAAAAGTTTCAAGGCTAGCGAATAAATTGAAAAAAATTCCACATTATTTCATGGTGCTCAATTAAACGACATTAAACGAAGAATGAAATAAAATTGTACATACAAATAAATATATACAAATTTATGTATGAGTACAAATGAGTGTGGATGCGAAAATCAAATATAAATGGCGCTTTGCTTAATGAAATAAAATGTAAATTTAACTGTCACTGTAAACCACTTAAAAATAAATATGAAAAATTATCACAATATTTAATGAACCAACAGACCAGAAAGCCAAACTCAAACTGATGACGTCAGAATGAAAGGATAGGGGCGGAAGGGTTTTTAAAATTATCCCTGATATATGACTTTATCTATGCGATGCACACAACTGCGCGAGGGTAACGGGTTAAATGAGTGACTTTTGTTTGGGCAACAGCAATGCCAACGAACAAAAATGGAATTCAAATTGAAAATGAAAGATAATGCAAATAATTGCATTTGTGCGCATTAATTGGGTTAAAGTTTCGTTTTGCAAATTTAAATAGGGGTTAAAGTGAAACAAAACTACAAGCCTTTTCAAGGTTCCAGTCTGGTTTTTTTTACCAACTCATATCCTTCCCTTAAGTTTTTAGTTCTCTGCCCTTTCATATGTAAGCAATGACCATGATGTGGTTCCAAGTAACACTGAGAAAATAAATAAAGAACAACAATTTCAGGTAAATATTAAAATGGGAAAAATAGATTTAAATTAAAAATGTTCTTCAGGCCGAAGGACTTCAGTTTCCAGTGCCATTTCCCTTTCTATTACTTTTAATATTATATACTAGTTTTAATTTGATAAAATAAATAAAATAAAAATGTTCCTAATTGCTCAAATAAAAAAAAGTTATTTCGACGAAGCAATGTTTTGAAAACCTCACTCCTTCTTTATGTGGAAAGTCTCTCCTTGGGTGAGTGGTATTTCACTTCATTCCTATGCCGGGTTAAAATCGTTGCAGTACTTGAAATTTTTAAGCTCATGTGGTACTCAACTGGAGCCTGACCTATGAAAGTGCTAAAGGATTAGGAAGGGGCCAGAAAGAGGATATATATACCCTTTTAGTGTGCTTAGCTAATGGTTAAGTGTGGCTTAGGTAGTTTTTATGAGATTCCCTTTCAACCAGAAACATTTGTGGCTGGCATATCAAAATTCTAGCTTAACTAATAAAAACACTAAGAGTAAAAAGGATTTAAAAGTTTTATTAACTAAAGCACTTTAAATAATTGGGTTATTTTCAAATGAAAATTATTAAATTGCTAGACTTTACTGGAGCAACTGCTTCAAACTCAAAAATCCGGGTCTGAGTTAAAAATCAAACATTTTATAACATGTATATAGAAAATCTTTAGAAGATACTTTAAAAATACTGCAATTTGTATTTTGTATAAGTAGTTATAAATATATATTTGAATAAGCCTTAAGTAGTCACAGATTGTAAAAAACTTTTCGTCTAAATAAAGTTTTTTAATGTGATAATGTGTTAATGTCAATTCTTCTATATTTTATATTGTTGTTACCCATATCGATGGCCGTCAAAGTAGCTCGCCTTCCAGTAAAATCATACCCCAGCGAAATGCGAACTTTCTCTGCCATAACTTTACCCGCAGCTGTCATAAAAAAATACGCGAAAAGGAATATTTTTCGGCCTGGCCCAAAGGGAGTGGATATGGGAGTAGGGGTAGGGGTAGGGTTAAGGGCACACACATAAATTAATACGAAATACACTTAAACAAGAGCAGCAAAGAAACACAAGGGAAAAAAAAAGCGAAAAACTTTTGTTCCCATTGATTTATTGCGTTAATATTTCTGCTTTAATGCATCAAATAAATTAAATTGTCTTACGCACCTTTCAACAGTCGAAGAAGGAAAAACTTTGATGCCACTTTGAGAGGCAGGGGGCGTGTCTAACAGAGCATTATTTCCAGCGAGAAAAGAGCGAGCAGCAAATGCATAACTTCGATTTCGTAAAAACAAATAAATATTCATAAAAAATTATTCTTCTCTCTCCCTCCCACATTCAGCTGTCTCTTTCTTCTCCCCACAAAAAAAGCACTTTGCGGATCTTCAGTCGCTGCCGCTGTTTTGCATACTGAAGGAAAAAGTATGGGAAAAGGCGTTTGAATTATAAATATTCATTTATGCTAAGCAAGGTGTTCGTGGGCAGGGGCGATTGGGGGCGGGAATTTCTCCAGGTGTATGCGGGGGCGTTGCCTTCGTCACGCCTGTTGCCTCCACCATGCCACTCGCTTTTTTTGGCTGCTCCTTTCGCTTCTGTTTCTGTCTTGGCCTCCTTACCAACAGGTCGTATGATTGATTTAATTACGGTGTAAGGCGTGTTTTTGTAAGCCATCGAAGCATTCTGCTTTTTCCTAGGGACTCTTTTTATGGATTATGTACTGTACCTTAACAAATACCAATAATGAACTCATTTTTATATTTTTATCAATACTTTTATAAGGAATATCATTTTTTTTTTATTACTGATTATTAAATTAATAAAAACAGGAATTTTTCTTAATTAACTTTAAATTCGAAGCCTTCATTAGACATATGGATTAAAAAAATGTACTTTGATGACTTATATTTTACAAGTTTTTATTTGTCTAAAAATATAAGCTACTTATTTATTAGAAATTTAAAAAAACTACGAATCGACAACACTCAATTTATAAATAATTCATAATAACAAAGGAAAATTATAAAGTAATAAAGAGATGCTTAAGCAAAATTCAAGCAAACATGAAATATGAGTTACACAATGTTAATATGCAAATTTTTGCCAAAATTGTTTTGCTCCAAGATGTTTTGCCTGGCTATATCCAAAAATACCACTTCGTTAATTAGGGACTTTTTCATCTTTTTGTAGCTATTTTCAGACATGCGTTGGTTGAACTTCAGCATTAGGGTACTTTCTTGTGTATCGCTTGTCTCCACTTTAATATCTAGGTAGGTCATTAAACTCGCCGCTTCCCCTTCCTTTTGCAAACGGATTGCTTATCGCTGAACAACCAAATGTTTGCAATTTATGGTTTCAGCTCTTTGTTGTTGCCTTCACCAATGTGCCAGTGTTGTTAATGCCGAATGAAAAGCTCAGCTAAGCGCCAACGCCCGCATCTACACATAATTTCCGTTTTCCTTTGTGGCGCCCACAGCATCGGATGGGCGAAACGGGGCGTGGCTAAAGGGAAACAAACAAGCGGCAGTCGTACTTCATGTAATCAACATTTTAATTGCGGAAACGGAACTCGCACACAACCATACAACGTGACGTATGTGGAGTATCTGTTACACATTACGCATACGCAATGTATGCTTTACTCCGTTTTGGTTTGCCGGTTTTTTGTTTTTTGCTATGAAGTCCAGCAGAAAAAAACATTTCTCTGTTTGCCACGTTTTTATTGGCCACTCTCTCTACCCATCTCAAATCTAGTTTGGCTTCCTTCCTCGCTGGAATTCATTACATCAAATATAAAGAAAGTTTTAGGCAATTTGCCAGAAATCCCAGGGAAAGAGAAAGGCAGTGCGAGGGCAGCTAAAAACCATTTCCCAAAAAAATACTATATACCCACTCAAATGCTGCAGCTGCAGCATAGCTGCATGCAGGTATCCCAAATCTACTTAGTTGATGGCGGTCGCTGGAGGGGGAAAAGGGTAGAAGGTGGAAAAAGCGGGTGGCGAGGTGGCTAGGTAAACGTAAACGAATTTGCGAATATTCAGCAGCCGTGGCAGCAACATCAAACTAAACTAAGTGTTGCAAAAAAAGTGTCGCAGCTGTGCTACTCAGTAAAATGATTTAAAACTCTTAGCTAATTACTTCCAAATCAAAAGAAAAATACAAACAATTTCCATTAAATTCATAAACATAAAATTATATTAATTTGTAGGAAAATATTTAAATATTAGAAAAATTTTTGTATGGTTAATTGCACTTAAGAACTGCAGGCTTAATTTTGGCTAAAAACTTGGGTAATAAATATATCTGGAGTACTTTTCCTCTCTACTTCCTACTCAATTACACCCGTCTGTCGAAAGCGGCTGACAACTTGCTACCCCTTTCTTTATAGAGAGACGATATCCTTACGACCTTTCCCCCTCGCCTTGCAACTTCTAGCCATCTCACTTTCGCTACCACTTGCCTTAGAGATGGCAAGCCAGTTTGCCGAAACACTTGAGCGACAATGGCAGGCGCCACAGCTCGGGGCTAAGCAATGCAGGCAAAAGCCCAAAAGCCTCGAACCTCGATCCCCGCGGGTCCTTCAGCCAGGACTCCCTGCCTCGCCTCCCCCGCGCCAGATTCGACTATTTTTTATGGCTGCATCAACAGCAGCAGCGGCAGCGGCAACAGACATGATAAATTCTCTTTAGTATGCGGCATACATGAGTGATGATATTAACCAACAACAGGCAGCTTCTCCGCGGGTGAAAGGGGGTAAAAAGTTAGTCAGCCAAAAAGGGAGAATCGGTTGAATCTGGGTTTCTTCCCCGTCTATTTTTTCCGGAGCAGGTCAATGTTTAGGGCCGCAAAGAGGTGATGGCAAACTGTCTATAGAAGGGGTTTGGATTGATGGTTGCAGTGAGAAGTAGAGTTTTTAAGTGGTAAAAAGGGAGAGTCAAAGGGGATAAATATGATCTTGATTGAATCATTAAGAATTTTGTTTGATTTTCCTTACCTTTATTTTGTTATTCTGTTACCTATCATTTAAAAATCAAACCAACACTTTCGTTTTCGTTGCGTCAACGTTATTGCTTTCTTCAATTATTTATTTTAAAGTTTTTTCTTTGATTTTCGTTGTTTAATTACTTTTCCCACCATGAGTTTTACTTTTCGGACCTCATCGGAAGTATCGGGTGGTACAGCAGCCTCCACAGATTCCGAGTCAAGAAATAGGAGCTCGTCTGTCTCGATTTATTACCAACCAATGATAAGGAAAAAGAATGAGGAAAATTCAGGACCAAAGGCCGTCAGCAAAAAGTCGCCCAAGAAAGAGGTAACATCTTCAAAGAAAGCTACCAAAGTGGCTAAAACTTCTGGGAAAAGTCCGCGGAAAATGTGGCAAGCTCGAGACACATTTAATACAATCCCGAAGTGGGAAAAGTCCAGGGCATCCTCTAGAGAACCATCACGGAGATGGAGCCAAAAATTCTCTTTCCGTGATCGTCTCTCTAGGAGTTCTCTCTTCGACTCTCCTTCGGATCAGACGAGCTTGATGACTATGGCGTCGCAAGCATCGATTTTATCTAGAGTATCCACAATTTCGCGTAGATCAAGATCGCCGAGAAAGAGAAGCAATCAGCCATCATTAAATAAGCCAGGATTTTGGGGTCGCCATCGCATACATCTTCTTAAAGCTGTGAAGCCAAAGGTCGAAGAAGTAGTAGATAAAGTACTTGATAAAAGTCCAGATACATCAGAAACGGAAAGGATACAAATAAAATACATCAAATCAAGTGATACAACTTCAATACGAATAAACACCATATCGGATTCTGATTCAAAGAGAGTCTTAACTAGTCTCATATCAGATTATGAATCCGACAGAGAGTCTTCGGCGTCTGAACTAGACATTCGAGTTGAGAAACAGGAAGACCGTGAACAAGTTAAAAGAATTAATTTTCTGAATTTATTTGGTCGCCTACCCGATATAAACATGATTTCGCCGACATCAAGTAAGGATATTGTAGATATACCCGAGGAAGAAAAAATAGTTGTAGCAGCCGTGGATAAAAGGACCTATAGACCAAGTAAATCGGAAACTTCAATGGACTTTGAAAAGGAAAATGAGAACACTGAAAATTTATATACACAAACAGTAACTTCAGAGATCAGTTCCGAAGCTGCGGTCGAAATCGATGACGAAATCGAATCGGAGGAAGCGCCAGACGAAGCTGAAGTCGAGGACATTCGTGAATTTTTATTAAGTATCCGACCCAGGGCCACGATTTTTGATCAAATTATTTCGGGAAGGGATTCTGAACTCCATTTGGCCAACAAGAATATGGTTAAGCAATTCCTTGCGGGTTTAATGAACGATGTGGTGCAGTATGCTGAAAATACTTCAGTTCGAATGGGGCGATTGTTGGACAAGGAGAAAATGCTGGAGGAGCTGCATCAACTGTCCGACGACTACCAATACGAAATGCATCGCAATCAGGCCCTGGAGAAGATCACCACGGAGTACTATGTTTGGCGCAAAGAGATTGCCTCTGTGAGCAAACCGAAGCATATCGATGTAATCAATAGCGAAAGGTTTATGTCGGCTCTGGTGGAATTGGATGATCGATTGTACCAAAAGCAGAACATTAAGAAGACGAGTTCCAAGCAAATCTGTGATTTAAAGGAGCAGCTGTCAGTTGCCCGCAACCAGGATGCTCAGAAAATAAGGCATTTGGAAGAGAAAATCAGGGAATCTCTTTGCAAGGAAGGCTGGGATCACTTAAACATCGTCGTCGACGAAATTCTCCAAAATATGAGCAATGTTCGTGACGATATATCCCATTTGCGAGAGGAATTGTTCTCCGTTCAGCACCGATTGCAGGCCATCAAAAATGTAAAAATTATGTTATATTTATTTTTCTTATTTCAAAAAGCCTCTTTTCACCATTTAGAAATCACAAAAAATGGAAAATCTGGGCAATGGTCTGCACGTTAATGAATATATTTCCAATCAAGCCCACAATCAATCGCTGGGAATAAAGGTTGGAGGTAAATATAATACGTTTCCATTTAAAACTGGTTTACTAATTTTATCGAGCGTATGCTAACAGTAGGTTTCTAAACTGCCAGATTAAATACATTTCCTTAGTTTTAAGCTAACTTTTATCTTACCATAAAGACGAGAAAAAGTATCTTAGTTGTTTTTAATATTCTAATTTTTCTCACCCAAAGAGAAAGACTTGGAGCTGAGGCGACTGCGTGATCGCACGACTTACGCCATTCATGCGATGACCCATTGGACGAACAAGAAAATGATGAACGAGGAGCTGCTGGAGAACATGAAGTCCAAGCTGCAAACGCAGGAGGAGCGGAAGAAGGACCTCAGGGATCGCCTTCATGTTGAAATGGTGCGGCACAAGGAACTGAAAAGACAGGATAAAAAACTGAGAACTGCCGGCTGTCTGATGCACTATCCGGACATGTTGCGCGATTACGATGCCACCGTGAAGTTTCTGAAAACCAAGCGAAAGGTGGTAAGACAGCTCCGTTTGGAACACAAACGCCTGGAACAGAGGAATTTGGAGATGGATAACAATATCCGCTTAACTTCGGTACTCAGGACTAAACTGAGCTTTGTCTCAGGCTCGTTTGGACCGAACAGCAAGAAGTTTGTCTGAGTGCGAAGTTAAGCTTTTGAATATCAGAAAGTTAAAAAAAAGTTTTTATATAGAGATGTGATACAAAAATGTTTACCTTTCAAATCCGTTTTAGTAAATATATTAAAAGGTTTTAATGTAAATATATGGATTTTATAGTGCCTGAGATCCAAGTTATATACGCTATGGTCTATAGCGAAACCTTTTGGAATTCATGTCAAATTCATATAAACTGTAATTATTTATAAGAAAAATATACAATGCTACTCTTACCTTATTTAGATTGTTATAAATATATTTGAGGCGGCTTTAATTTCCAAGGAATTTCACTTCCAGTGACTGTCAGAGACACTCGTGTAAAACCACTCTTCCCTCCCAAGCTTCGAAAACCACGCCGCGGGATATTCTTGCTGCCATCGTAAATACTTTTGCTAATAAGTATACTAGCTTTAAATTTAAGATTTATATTAATTATATATTTGTTTAATATTATTTTGCTTCCCTGAAAAATATATTTTTAGGAATACAAATATAAAACAATTTATACTGTTATAATCTCCAACATTTAATTGTGTAAAACTAACGACTGAATGTGGCTTTTAGAAGGCACAGCCTTTTTTTCTACACTTATCGTTTTTAATAAGTTTTACAAAATAGTCCAAGTTAATAACTAGAGGTACAAAATGTGTTATAGAGCACTGTTTAATACGTATGCAAGGAAAAGTCATGTTTTGCATCTTTTGGCAGCTGCCATATATCTTAGTTCCATGGCCCTAAAACAAGACTACGAAGCCATTGGATACATAGTCGGCACACGGGCATATATCTATAGGTAGGGAGTATATTAGTCAGTGGTGAATTGGAGGAGCACCCAAGGATGAGCCGAGCTAAATGCAGATGAGATCGGGGGTCAGGGAAAGTCAAGGGGACGATGAAGGGGGCAGGGGTTTTGGGCGGCAGAAAGAGGAATACCTAGAGTCTGTCCAGGCCATGTCCGTGTCTGGTTTGGCCTGCTCCTTGGTATGCACATTTCATGTTGCACTTAAAAACAAAAAACGAACAGGTGAGCGCAGGTATGTTCGTGGCAAGGTTGTCGATTGGGGGCGAGTGGTTCAGGGGGGTTGCAACACACACAAACATGTGGCGAAAACTAATAGCAAAAAAGAGGAAGCAGCAGCAGTAGCAGTAGCAGCATCCAGCAAAAACCGAACCAAAACGAACCGAGTTGGGTTAATGGCAAAGGTGCTGATGCTGCTGCTCCAGCTGAATTTGCAGCACCCTTTGGCCCCGAACTAAGCAGCCCTTGCCCACTTTTTTTTGTTTTTGTGACCAACATTAGAGGGAACACAGGTGCATGTTTGCACTGGAACAAAAAAGGCTACGTAATATGGATAATCTATGTTTGTAAGTACTGTTAATATTATTATTTTAAATTTTGTTTATATTTTAGATAAGTTAGTCAAAAAATCAATGCTTGTATTCTTTCTGACGGAGATGAATGAAATTGTTACATCATTAAAATCAATTGATAGTTAAACCAAAAGTTAGTATAATTTTTTATCAGTGTATAGATTTTGTATGGGTTCCCTTATGTGTGTTTTTAGCACGCATGTTTCAAGCGCTTATCGCCATCGTCGCATCGTCGGCTGCTGTTAAAAGAGGTTAGAAAAGTAGAATTTTTTTTAGATGGAAAATGTGTGGGCTAAAGATTTAAAGGGACTTGCCCAGGCAAGGAGGGATAGTTAAAAAAAGGATATTACGAGATTCTTGGCAAGCTAGATGAAATTCCGTTAGCTAAATTCGATTTTGCACTTGAGCCGCTTGCAGACCAGCTAATGCAGAGGAGCGACCTTCTGCCAACCTACTTTACCACCTCGGCAAAACCAACTTTGGCCATGTGGATGCTGAGGAAAAAATGTTAAAAACTAAAGCTGATGCGCTTAGTCAAATGGTTGAAAAACAAGGCGGCAGATTAAGGCCTTCGTATATCAATTAAATTAATTGAAAGTGGAATTAAAAAAACATCAATTTTTAAATGGTTAGTAAAAAAAGTAGAGGCGCTAAGGACTATGCAATAATGATAGAATATTAATATACATTAATCGAAATAATAACTCAAAAACTACTCTTTTTAACGAAAAATGGAACAGAATATTAATGTTTATAAATTGCAATATACAATATGAATAAATTTTACAGAAATGTAGCAACAGAAATAAAATAAAGAGTTAATTTCAAAATAAATCGGTTTATTTTTTAAAAAAATTTTCAGAATTAAGTGAAAGATTTTTAACTTGTTTGTCAAACTTTTTGAGAGCCCCTCTGCCAGAAGTCTCTACCCTGGACGACGGCACACTTCTCCACACTGAAAGCAATTCGGCAGCACACTCACACTTTGACAGACAGACACACAAATGCATTTAGGGCGGACATATGCAATGCACGTCGGAATTTGCATCTTCAATCTGCAATTTGGTCGAACGGAAGGCGAGGCTAAATATAAATGGCTCAGCATCTATAAGCCAATTTCCGTTGCGCTATATCCGCTGCCAACGCATCCGCCTCCGCAATTGCTGCCTTGGATTATATTATAATGCCGCTGTTTCGGCAAATGTCACTACCAATTAACGTAGCTTGTTATTTTTGGAGCTGCACAGCATTTCCCTTCACCAAATGTCAGATGATTATGCTGTTATATTGCATATATCTGTATAAAGTCAAGGAAAATGGTTACAGTTCGTGCAAAGCTTTCATCGTTATTAAAAAGAAACTGTATAAACAAATCAGTTTGTACATGGTCAAGTTTAAAAAGTACATACCATTCATCACGTAAATATTTTATATTTTTACTAGTTGAATAAAAATAATAAAAAATAAAATAAAAACTGTTAAATGAGGCTATACAAAATGCAATATAATGTTCAATCAGAATACCATTCATTAATTTCTAAAGTGTAACACAGAATTACATTGTCTAGCAATATGAGAAACTTTAATGAGGTAAAACGAATATTTCCCTTTTTAAAAGACGCTCTTGAATAATAAGGACAATATTTTATGCGCCCTGACTTACATAAAGATTTAACGCTCTGGCCATATACCTTTGCCACTCAATGTCTGCCGCAAATTTGATTAAGCTGCTCTGCGATTTATGCTTGGAAATTATTTATAAATAAATCTAGCTAACTATTCGCCTGCAGCGCGCGGTGGGTTCGTCAGCGAAAAAAAAAGACCGTCAGGCCCTTCCTGTTGACTAACACGCCCCCTTCGCCCCTCGCATGGTGCATGCCACTTAAAGCGTGCCGCACAAAACTCTCACACACACACATCAGAACATTTTGAGTAATAAACTCATTTCATATGCTGACTGCTTTTTCATTTCAAAACTTTTTTTTTGCGCTATTCCACTCTTTTGGTTTTCCTGTTGTTTGCCTCTTGTTAGCGGGAAAAGGATATAGGGGCAACTGCTAGCAGGGTCAAATGATATACGAGTATGAGTTGTGTTCCTTTTTTCCTACTCCAGTTCGAAACCCTTTTTTTCAGCTGTTGTTCCTTGGCTTTGGCTGGAGAGTTTCTGGAGTTTCGGTTGTTGTTTCGGTTCGCTTGTAAGTTGCCGGGGAAATATTAAATATGCATACGCTAAATGCAGTCGACTGCGGCATCCGTGACTGCAACTGCTCCCGTTCTTGTTATTGTTGCTGTTTATGTTGCTTTTTATACGGGGTAATAGGCAGGCATTGAGGGTACATTATTTTTAACGAGGATCATATTTAAAATATACTTTTCTTTTACCACATCTGTATAATAAAACTAGTTTTAGGCTTAGAGAAAACACTTATAGCAATGTCGTTAACATATTCATAACCATATATTTAAGTCTTGGTCATATTAAATATATAATAAAAACATAGAAAAAATATATATTAATTTTTCACTGTGGAAAATACGAATAATAATGCAATTTTTTAATTAAATAATAATGCAATACCTTCATTATCCAATGAAAAAATCTTTTTCCTACACAAAAATTACATACTTTTTAAATCACTTCAGAGCTCTATATTTATTAATCAGAACAAAATAACTTCTACCCCTGCATTACAGTTTTAAAATGGAGTCACCTTATGTCGAAATTTTAAATAACAGCGTATTTTCCAACACTAACTGTTCCCAGGACTGTGCTAAATGTTGGTACAACTGGCTGTCAGAATGCCTGACATCGCTGTAATGCGGCCGTTCCCGCATTCGTCCTTTGGCACCTTCGCCCTCAAATGCTCACTTCATCCCACCTGCCCTTTTGCTACTATATCGTACTAAACACAGCTGAGTGACATTTTAATAAAGTGCTCACTTGTTCAATTAAATGCCTGAGGCTTAGGGAACAAAAAATAGCTGAATCGTAAAAAACTAAAGTGCAAAAACAGACAAACAGTCAGTCAGTGTGTCAGGCGGACCACGTGGCGTATACGTAATATTAAAACTGCATTCTCCCGATGTCTTTTGTCTGTCATTCGATTGTGTTTAGAGCTAACAAGAGATGGATGCATGGATGAATGGCTAGAATGATGGGTCGATGGATAGACGGATGGTTGGTTATGTAAGTGCATTAGCTTCTGGGTGATGGAGCAATGACATTCCTCGGGTCATGACACATCTGCTAACGCTAAACTCGGTTGGGTGCTGTGCAATTACTTGGCTAAATACAAATAAGGATCTTAGCAGGTGACATTCGTCAACAACTAAACGTTGAGTGGTTTATGGTTAGGAAAAGCGCATAACTATCGCTTATAAATATGGGTTTACATATAATAATTATTCGAGTTGGAATAGTATTTGACTGTTGAACAGGTGACATTACAAGTACTAGTTTTGAGCATAATCTAATACAATATTTCATAGTTTAATTTTTGCAATACAAATTTCAGCATATATGTACATTTAAAAAAATTAATTTATTATAACCCCTTAAAATCGGTTTGCAAATATAACTGAATCTTAAACGTTCAATGGTACAACCTACAAAAATATATCCTCAAGCCATGCTTATCTCTGTCAGCCATGCTTATTATTTAA